TAGCTCAGACCCCAGGTGGGGGCTTCCTCAGCTCTGCTCCGTACCAAGCAGGCAGGCGGCAGCTGCCAGGGCTCGCGTACCTTTGAAAGTTCAGGAGTTCTCAAGACCTTAAGGATGGGTGCTTTTGTCCATAACGCAGGGCCAGGGCTCCTGTGTCTCTCAGGCAGGGGGTCCCAGGACCCCGGACGATGCCCTGTTCTTGGCTCCTTTCCCCACAAGGTCACTGGTGCCAGATGTCCTGGGTGAACTCGGGCCCCGCTGCCTCCTCCCTCCCCTGGGCCCTCTCCGTAGGCCTCTCTGTCCACAACTGGGCTGTCTCACTCACTCCAGTGCCCCCGGCCCCACCCCACACACCAACCTGCTGGGCGGGGAAGCACCAGGAGCGCCTCCCCATGCTAGCTAAATATTAACTCCTGGAGAGGTGGAGCCTGGGCACCTGGACACTCAGGCAGGAAGGAAAGGGTGACAGGGACCTGAAGAAAAGGAAGGATGAGGGCCCCAAGGTCTCCATTCTCATCAGGGATTGGGAGCCATGTTTCCCTGCTTCCGGGCACTGGACTCTGCTGCCCAGACCCCAGAGACTCCGCTCCTCCAACACGCTGCCACCAGACCACAGTCATCGGGTGCCCCCAAAGCCCTTCCTGATCTCCTCCCTGCCACAGCATAAGGATCAAACTCTTCATCATTTGACCCAATCACTTCCTGCCACTTCTCTACACAAATTTCAGCTCCAGCTAAGTAGACGGACTGCTCCCCTTCCCTGGAGCACACCTCCCATTTTTCTGCCTCTAAGCCTTGATTTTCGCGCCCGTTTTTCTGCTCCTCATTTTCTGCTTTGTGCATCTTTTCTCCACTGAAATCATGCAAATGCCAGGCCTCCCACAAAGCTCCCCCACCTTGGCCTATGCTCTCTCCTGCCCCAGAACCCACGGTGCCTGGGCAGGGGAGTGGAGAACCTCGAACGCAAGGTGTGGAAGCTGGGCAGAATCTCGGGTGCAGTGCTCACTAGCTGCGAGACCGTGAATGGCCTGGTGCCTCTGAGTGTGAACTCAGCCATGTGTGCTACGTGGGAACATCTCACCGCCCTAAAGAAGGGGTGCAAGCCAGTGTCCCTGTGCATCTGCTGAGCTTGGTACATATTAGTTTCCTTATTTCCAATAATTCTTATCTCCCCTTTCCCTCTTTGGGGATGTTCCAAAAAAAAAAAAAAAAAAAAGAAAGAAAGCAAGCTTTGTTATACCATGTGTAAGAGAGGGATTTCCAAATGTCCCACCCAAGAATTGCCTTTTTATGGGTTTATCCCTCCAATTAAATCTCAAGTGCCTTGAGAGCTCTATCTTGTCCATCTTTTTTATTAACGGAAGGATTAGCACAGGGCTTGAATGCTGTGGGGGAAAAAGAAATACTGGGACTGACTGCTTAAGCCCTCGCCCCGCCCACATCTGCCTAAGGAAGGAGGGAGAGCACAGGATTCTGGCCTCTCTCCTGCCTCCGCCTGGAGGGACAGTGGGGTGCTGGGCCAATGACTTCTTTCTGGGTTTTCAGGTGATTTATTTCCTCAGTAAACACCCTGTCCAATGTACTGCACTGGGCATGGTGGGGGAGGAAAAGATGGACTATTTCTACGTCTGGGGCACTTGCTACTTAGCGGGATCATGACAAGCACATGCATTATGACAGTTCTGGACAAGCTATGACAAGTACCATAAGGCAAGGACAAGTGAATGGCTGGAGAGACCAGTGGCGGTGGGGACAGTCGCTCATCCCAGGGAAGTGCCAAGAGCCTGTGGAGCAGAGGAGGAGCCCGTGGTCTGGGTGTGCATGTGCGCTAGAGCAGGACATGCCAGGTGACAGGAACCCTTCAAATGAGGATGGGGGCCTGCTTGCTTGATAGAGTTCGTTTTTCAGTGTTCTTAAAGGGGAATTGTGGGGCTAGGGCTGAAGAGGGAGACAGAACAGGGCCAGACCGGAGTCTTAAAGATGACACTAAGGAGTGTGGCCAGGACGGTGTGGCCTGGGTGGAGCTGTGGTTGATGGTGGGGAAGGTGAGTGGGGCCAGCTCGGGTGTCCTGGAGTGGAGGGCAGTGTTGGGAGGCACACAGATGATTCCGGGAGTGAGTGCAGATTTAGACAGATCCCAGTGAGGCCTGGCCATGGTGGAGAGCCCCAGAGTTCAGGAAAGAAAGCAGTTACCCACAAGGAGGGCAAGGAGTTGGTGGCTGAGATGCTGAGGTTGCTCAGAGAGGGAGCAGGCAGGCGAAGAGCAGAGTGGGAGGGACTCTCAGGAAAGGGTCCTCTGTGAGGAGGGGAAAGAGAAGCCTGGATGGCAGGCCGAGGGGAGTGGGGGTGTCTCTTTGCCAGGGCAAGCACTTAGGGCTGAAGACAGTGATGACAGAGGCAAGGCTTTCGGCTTGGTCCCTGGAAAGTCACTGTCTCAGCGTCAGAGGGACAGGGTTGAATAGACTGATGTAAGTGGAACCAGCTCGTGTGGCCTAAAGAGTGAGTGATTGTCCCCCTTGGATATCCTGCTTGGCTCTCTCCTGCCTCGTCTGGCTGTTTGCAGGACAGCACAGAGAAGGGAGGTCAATATGAGAGCTGTTCTTAGTGAGCATTCTTGGTAATCCCAAACTGGCATCAGATTTGAGGCACTGGTGGCTACTGCTGCCACCTCCCTCCACTGGTCACATTCCCCCCTAAAGGGGTTCATGTTTCCCCAACAGCAAGGGGCAACTAGCAATTAGCCCCCTGTGGCCACTCCTGCTCACACCTGCAGAGACCCAGGCGCTCAGAGGCGAGCAAGGCTGCTGGAGCCAGGTGTGGGCTGAGGACCTGGGGAAGCCTCCTTCCTGCCCACCGCCTAGCTGTGCCTGTTCAGTCCCCTCCGAAGTGCCAGCATTAGGGATCCACTCTTGTGATTTCTTCCTTTTAGCATCTTCAAGGTCACCACTAGTTCAGGGGAAACGAGCTGAACAGATTTCCAGAGCCTGAAAAGCCACCTGGGGCATGGTGCCCTGGGAGAGGCGCTGAGAGGTTTGGTGAGAAAAAGGCTCAGAGCTCAGCCAGAGACCCAGGGACCCAAGGCAGGAGCAGGCACTGGGCACCTGAGGGCTGGGCTGGGGTGAAGGCTCTCCCTGGGACAGCACAGGCCTCCGGAGCGGCCCTCCCTCTCCCTCTCCCTTCTCTGTCCCTCCCTGTCTCACCTCAAAAAGCAAGAAAGAAAACAGTGAGGGCTTTCTGGAGCCAGCCCCCAGAGGCCTGTCGGTGCTGGGGAGGTCAGAGAGGGAGGGAGGGGCTGGAGAAAGGCCGTGAAGAAAGCAGAGGCAACACAAAGGGCCCGGTCCACCTTTGAAGCCGTCTCTAACCCGAGCGAGGGAGGGGTGGGAGTGGGCCGGAGAGCCGGCTAGCAGGGAGGCAGTCTAGAGTTTTAAAGAATGTCTCAAATTCCTGCGGAAATCAGAGGGATTGTAACAGCCCCCCTCCGCATTACACCTCCTTCCCAGCCACCCCACAAAGTCCAGTTCTCTACACCTGGGGGGCCCCCAACCCTTTGTTCTCAAGTAATTGCTGGGTGTTGCCCCCGTTTTAAAGTCCCATTGAACTCGCCAGTTATCAGCTGAGGCTCCAGACCACCCTCCCGCCACACATCCTAGAAAACTACCCCCAACACCGCACGGTCTTCACTGGGATTAAGGCTCTTTGTGATGGGGGAGAGAAAAAAGTAACCTGGTGAAAAGCAATTATGACGAGCAGTAGGGAGAATGTCTGTCCCAGGGCCGGGGACCTCCCTCTTGGCCGCCGCTGTCCCCACCTTCTAAATTGCCCAGTGGTGGGGGTGTCAGACTCTGCGCTGGCCCTCACCATCAACTGGGCTGCAGCTGCACCCACCTCCCACTGTCACTGGACCAGGGCCCTTCCCCACTTCCTCTTTTTTCCTTATTTTTAGGCCATGGTAGGGAGCAGAGAGAAGGGACGTCTTTCATCCTCTCTCCGTAATCCCCCTCCTCAAGGTAGTCTCAGAAGGAAGAGGGAGGGGAGAGGAAGCAGGCTGGAGGGAGTACATCCGCAGAAGAGAGGGCTTAGTGAGGGAAGGGGAAACTGAGGCTGGGGGGCCATCCTCAAAAGAGGGGGCTCCCTGAAGGTAGGGGAAACTAAGACTGGGGGGCTATCCCCAGAAGAGGAAGCTCCGTAAGGGAAGGGGAAACTGAGGCTGGGAGGCCATCCCCAGAAGGCTCAATGAGGGCGTTCCCCCTGAAGAGCTCACCAGGTTGCGGGGGGTGTCCCAGTGAGTAAGGACCTCCCCCTGGACATGATTAAAAGCCAGCGGACAGAAGAGGCGGGTTTTATGGCCCGCGAGTTCCACTCCCCACACGCACACCTGGAGGCCCCTGGGAAAGCCCACCGGAGAAGCTGGGGTGGGGGCAGGGCCACCCCTTCCTCCCCGCCCCGCTCGTCCCCTCCCCCGCGCCATCCCGGCTGGGCCGCCGCCTTTGAGATTTGCCCTCAGGTGTGGCCCCCGCCCAGGCCCCGCGGGGACCCGAGAGGACGGGGTACGCCTTCTCGCCCCCTCCCCCTTCCGCCCGCCCAGCCCCGCTCCCCGCCCCCGCCCTCCTCACCGGAAAAAAGCAATCTGGCTGCCCAAGGAGGCTCCTGGCGTCCGCGGGTAGCTCGGGCCCCGCCGGGCTCCGTAGAGCCCTCGCCCGCGCCTCGGGCCTGGGCCTGGGCCTGGGCCCGGCCCCTCCGGGGGCTCGGGTTTTCTTCCCCAACAGGTAGCACGGGCCGCGCCGCGCGAGCCCAGGAAACCCGAGCCCGCGCCAGGGAGGGGCCGCCCGGCCTGGACGCGCCCTGGACCGCCCGCCTCCCGCGGGGCCGAGCCCGCAGCCTCCCGGGGCCCCGGCGCTGCGGGCTGTGCCTGCACCTGCCGGGCCACGCCTGGCCGGGACGGACAGGCTGGTTTCCAGGGGTCCCGTGGTCGGATCCCCCACCCCGCTTCAGATAACCCGTTTGCAGGAAAATGGTTTTATTCTGAGGATGGGAGTTGGGGGTGGGGTGCAGGCCTGGGTCGTGGAATGTGAGGAGTGGCCAACCATCTATTCTCTCTCTTTCTCTCCCCCTCTTTCTTTTTTCCTGAAACAAACAAAAGTCCCTTCCTACAGTCCGGCCAGGAGGAGTTTGGGGGCTGGGGGCAGACTGAGGGAGACCCGGGAGCAGATTTTGAGGACAGCCACCTCCAGACGGTGTCTGCAAGGTCTCGAGGACCCGGCCTTTCAGGAGCCCGGCTGGGAGGCCGGCGGAGGCTGGCGGCTGAGACCAGGGTGACACTCAGTTCCTCTCCAGGGCCTGCCACCCGGGCCACTGTGCCAGCCGCCCCTGGGGCACCGGCCTGCCCCTTCCCAGCGGGGGGGGGGGGGAAGGGAGCTGGCTGCTTCGCGGCCCTCCCGCCACCCAGCCCAGTCCTTGGAATTAAGAAGGGAAGGGGATGGGGAAGCGGCCAAGGGGTGTTGCCCCCTGCCTTCCTGACTACGTGAGGGGCTGGGGCCGCCGCGTGCGCTTGGTCCGGCGCGTGGGGGCGGAGCCCACAAACTCGAACTGCTTCTGCTTGTCAGCGTGGTTGGGGAAGGGCAGCTGGCCCTGGTAGAGGCGCTTGATGAAGTGGGCCTCGCGTTGGTTTTGGCGGCTGCGGGAGGCCTGGCGGGGCCGCCCCTGCCGCGTGAAGGCCATGAACCAGCCCTCGTGCCGGGCGTTCTGGAAGGCCGTGTAGTTGTTCTCTAGCACGATCTCCGTGAACACGCAGTCTTTGCTCTTCCCGCTGGGCTGCGGGAGAAGCAGGAGAGGAAGGGCATTGTCCACCTACCCTGGTCTGAGGTGTCTGCCCTTAGGGCATCTCTCTTGGAGGACGGAGGAGGGACCACCGGAACAGTAGGGCCCTGAGCCCAGGGAACTCTGCCTGGTTTTGAAATGGCATCCTAGTTAGAAAGGCAACAGTGGCCAAAACACACTGCGGATCTGAGTTGTAGGCTTGTCATTTAGCAGCCCTGTACGAGGCTGGGCCTCAGCTTCCTGAGATGCAGGTGGAGATCAAGGTCCTGCCACGGTTCTGAGCGTGCCCGTGCCCTTAGCACTGAGAATGCTCATGCAGCCTGGGTGAGTGGTGCGGCTGGGCGCGGGAGAGGAGGCAGCAGCCTCCAATGAGAAGAAAGGGTGCCAGCGTGGCCACCCATACCACCCTGCCAGCAATCTGGGGGTTGTGCCCATTTCTGCAGACAAGAAGCCTGAGGCTTGAGAAAGAGAAGCAAACCAGAAGTTATGTGGTCACAGCAGCCATAATGGGAGGCTGGGACTGCCTGATTCCAAACGAAGTGGAATTCGCCTACCCCACAGGGCTGGGCCCACCGTGCGGTTTGGTGGCAGCAGCAGCTTAGCATGTATCTTGTGAGCTGGAGCCCCCCCCCCCCCGGCCCCACTGAAGGTGGGGGAGTTCCTGCCTTACCTCTGTGCCCCACTTTCCACCCTCAGCTGCCCTTACTCCTCCACCCAGAAGCTGCAGTGTCAAGTAGATGCTAAACTCTTCCTGATGCCTGCTGGAGAAATACTCCTGACATCAGCCCACCATCCTGTGGCTCGCCAGTCTCCTCAGAGGGCTAACAGAGTCCCAGTGACTCATTTAAATAGAGAAACCTGGCCAGGCTCATTGGCTCCCAGCACTTTGGGAGGCTGAGGTGAGAGGATCAGCCCATGAGTTTGTAGAGACAGGGCCTCACTATGTTGCCCTGGCTGGTCTCAAATAAAAAATTAGCTGGGCATGGTGGCATGCACCTATAGTGCCAGCTACTACGTGGGAGGCTGAGGCGAGAGGATCGCTTGAGCCCAGGAGCTCAAGGCTGCAGTGGGCTACGATTGTGCTACCGCACTGCAGCCTAGGTAGCAGAGCCAGACTGGGACTCCAAAATAAAATAAAGAAACCAGAGAGTGGCCCAGTGGGTGGGCTGGGAGTGGGGTGGGAAGTCTTTGTGCAGGAGGGTGTGGCTCAGAGGAGGGATAGGGGAGCGGGCTGCCCTGTGTGTCTCCACCCTAGAAGTCCTGATTCTTTGTTCCTTTCCAGTCTCCCGCCTCACCTTCCCGATGAGCTTGCCCCTCTTGTTCATACAGATGTACTTCTCGCTCTCAGCCCCTTTGATGCGAACCCGGCTGCCAAACGTGTCGGTCTCCACTATGAGCTTGGCTGTGGTGGGGGAGGGGAGAAAAACCTCCGTCCATCGGGGCTGCCGGCCCATGGCTACGGCAGGGGACTGCCCAGCCACACTGACCTCCAGACTCAGGCGAGGGGGTTGGGGATGCTCAGGGCCTTGGGGCCCTCAGCCCCGACACGATCTGGGAATGGACCAGGAGGTGAGGCAGGGTGGAGGTGTGGGTGGCCTGGGGGGAGGGCCAGCTCTCACCAAACTTGTTGCCGTCCTCAGCGGTGGCGGAGATGCGACGCCCGGTGACCTGCACGTGCTTGCCGCTGGTCCGGCTGTAGAGCTGGTACTCGCGGATCTGCCGCCTGCTCAGCTGGTCGGTCATGGCACCCTGGTCCCTCACGTACTGGTTAAAATTAGGAGACGGGTGATTCTCCCCCTTTGCGGTTACCAAGGGAAAAATAGTGTCAATTTGCTTTGGGTGACACCACCGCTGGTCCATCCAAGGGAGAGGGGTGAGGAGGTGAATGTAGTGGGGACAGGCCACTGGTCCTGCAGAGTGAAGAGGGCATATGGCCATAACCTTCCCAGGCCCCTGGGTGAACCAGCCGGTCATAACCTCTTGGCTTTGCATCTACCCTAGAGCAGGGGTGGTCTGCCCAGGCTGGGGAACACTTAGTGACAGAGCACAGTCCTGGAATCAGGACTCTGGGAGGTGGAAGGAACCTTCAGGGTTCTATCCCATCCTTATGTTCTATGGAGGAGGTGCACAGGGTACACAGCTCATTAGGGACAGAACCCCTGTCCCTGCCTCTTAGACCAGAGCTTGTCACCTCCCTGCAGAACTCCAGGGACATGGCTCCATTAGCCAGGACCATTAGATTCCTTCCTGATCCTCCCCACTGTCCTTGAAAGGCCCCTTGCCTAGCACACAGGGGCACAGAGCAGATGGTGCTTCGAGTTAGAGTTGCCAGAGAGCATGTAGGGGTCTCTGGAGGCTCCTGCAGGGCCCCGTGAACATGTCTTCTCAGCACTAACCAGGGAATCCTGGGCTCATACCCATCTTCTGCCCGGCCTCGACCCCTGGTGCTCAGGGCCCTTCCAGCATTCCTCCCTCCTCTATGGGCTGGCACTGGGGCTAGGGCTGGGCACTAAGGGACAGCAGGCAGGCAAGGTGCCTCCTTAGCGGAGGGAAGCAGAGGCAGCACCGAAAGGAGAGGCGCTATCAGCAGTGGGCCAATGGCTGCCCCTGCCAGGCGGCTCCTTTGCCACAATGTAACAGAGGCTCCCTGCCAGTTGGGGGGATGTGCCCACCCACCTGCTTCCCCTTTGGAGGGCGGGGAGAGGAGCCATTTCCCCCACGCACTGTGCAAAGCCAGGAGGGGTGCTGCCTCCCAGCTACGTCTCTCCTTTCCCATCTGTAAGGTTGAGTGGGGGAGCCCCGGTGTACTGCTTGCCCTCCATCCTGCAAGGTGCCACCCAGGCTAGGCTTCCCAGCTGCTGGCAACAGCCTGAGCTCCAGCTTGAGAATGCACCTTTTGTGTTGTTTCTCTCTCCACCTGGATGCTGCTGCCTGTGCTGGGACGGCTTTCCCAGCCCCTGCTCCAAATCCCTAATTCCACCTTTATCCCAGGCCCAACCCCAGCCATCTGGACAGAGCCAGACCGAGGTCAGCATCTGTTAGGGGCTACTCTCTCCTAGGAAGGGGTGGTAAATATCACCTTTGAGGAGGGGAATGAGGGAGCAGCTCTGGGGCTGGCCGTTTTCACCTGCGCAGGGTTAACCCTTCCTGTGCACTGCTGCTCATTTCCAATTGCAGTTCCCCATAGAGCAGCCTCTGCAGGACCTGCCCCTCGCCCCACCCTGGAGCATTTGGGGTGGGGGACCTGCCCAGCCTGCCCCTCGCTGGCCTCCCTGCCAGGGGGTGGGGTCCTGCCTGTCCCAGCCCCGCCTCCTGGCCCAGGTTCAGGCCCTCCGCCCCTCTTGGCCGACAGCCTCCTCTGGCAGTCTGTTCCAGGTCAGGAGCAGAGAGCGCCCCCGCAAGCCCCCTCCTCTCCTTGTCCCCCTTCAAGCCTTTCACAAAGGCAGCCCCACGCCCCCCCCCACAGTCCACAGCCCACAAGTCCCTCTCCCCGCGGGACCTAGCCTGTCCCTTTCATGTTCCCGCTGCGGGGGGACCTCCCCTTCCACCACTGCAGACAGCTGCTTGTCAGACGGCCCCTCAAGCATGGCTGTGGTCCGGTCTGCTGGCCCCCCCCCCCCAGGGGGGTGAGGGGGCACTTCAAGGGGGAAAGGACCGCTTTGCCACCTTCCCTGAGTCCTGAATGGGGCCTCAGCCAGGCCATAAACGCCCGGCCAGCAGCACCATTGTGCTAGTTCCCTTCCAGAACAGGTTGGGCCCACCCCCAGCCCCCTCCCAGCCTGGCTGGGGGCTTTCTTCTGGCTCCCCCTGGATGTGTGAAGCAAAAGGCCTGGAACGGGGCTGGAGCAAAAGGGGGAAGGAAGGGGGGGGGGAGTTGTCTCTCCCTCTCCCACCCCCCCACTGCTTCAAAGGCTGCCCCTTTCCCTCTCCCAGAGAAAAGGCATTTACCTTCAAAAAAAGTCCCCACTGGATATGAAGAGAAGCGGCCTCTGGCCTGGGAAAGCCAAGCGATCTCTCCCCAGAGCGGTTCTGGACCAGTGCATTTTAATAGCTGCACTTTTATGGAGGATCACAAAAAAGGGAGCAAGCCTCGCACTGGGGGCTGAGACTTGGGGGTGGGAGGTGTGCATGGAAGGAGGTGGGGGGCTGACATGGGGTGGGGGGAGCGTGGAGAAGCAAACCCTGCATCCCATCCCAAACAGTCCTCTTCGGGCTTGACCTCTGTGCCCTCTAGGTGAGAAGTCACCTCACCCTGGCCGGGCATTCTGGACATGCTCATGAGACACCCCCCAACACCGGGCACCCATATTGATGGAGTCGGGTGGCCAGAGGGATATACAAGTGATTTTGCATCGAAACCTATCCTTTCAGGTACTGGCAAACCCAAGCCTCACCTGAGCCATCACCGCCACCCACTTCCAACCGATCCAGGGCTCCGTACCTCAGGTCCGGAGTGCCAACATTAGCTTTATGGGGGAACCCGGTGGAGAGGGATGGAGAGGAGCAGAGACCCAGGGGAAGCCAGGAGGGTCCTCAGAGGCAGGACAGAGATAACACCAAGTCAGCCCCCTTCCCTGCCCTCCCTGTCAAAGGCTCACTCCCCTCCAAACCTCAGCGCCTCCTGGACCCGGGGAGAGGCCAGACTCTGCCTCTGCCCATCTGAAAGGAGCAGGTTCCCTGCACCCGCCCCAGTTAGATGGGGTGGGAAAATCGGGGTAAAGCCGGTGGGAGCGCCCGCTTACCTGAGTTTGACAGCAGAGAATCAGCAGCTGGAAGCACCTGTGAAGGTGGAGGAGGTAAGCCCAGGTGTGGGTGCCAGCCACACCCCAGGGTGCACCCGGGCCCCCGCCCCAACCCTGCCAGCCTTGTGCGCACACGCGTGGGAGTCCCGGGAAGAGGTGGGCTGCCCTGAGGCTGGAAATGGCAACAAAACTCAGTGGGAGAGGCAGCACACTTACAGAGTGAGGTTGGGCAGCAGGCGGGCGGCTCCCATCGCTGGAGAGGTTCTTCAGGCGGTTGCCCCCCTGCCCCCAAGCTCAGGAGCAGATGTGGGCAGTCCCCAGGAGTAGAGTCCCAGAGAAGCCAAGGTCTCTCCAAGCCACAGGTTTTCAGGGGGGCGAGGAGAAGAGAAAGGGGAGGAGGAGGAGAGAGAAGAGGGAGGAGGAGGGGGAGGAGGAGGGCGTAATTGGGAGACTGAGGTATGAGGTGTCCACCTTCCTGGCCAGTGAGGCTGCAAAGCAGATGCGGGTGGGGTTGTGTGTGCTGTGCCCTCTGGGCTGCCCCTCTCTCCTGGGCCACCCGGTGCAGGGATGGAGCAGTGGGCACCTCTTGAAGGAGGTCTCCTGCTCTATTCCTGACCCTCACAGACTGGCCAAACTTGATGCAGGCAAGCTCAATGTGTGGCAGGCAAGGGAGGGGGAGCCCCTCCTCCCCTCTCTGGGGCTGCAGTCTCCTACCCTAAGGTCTGGTGCCCCACCTCCCTAAGGGTGAGCTGCAGGTGTCAAGCGGGGCTGGGGTCTCTGGCTCTGGGTCTGGAGTGGAAATTCCCAGAAGCAGCCTTAAAAGGAGGAGCCTCCCTCCAGGGGGCAGGGGTGGGCTTGGCTTGGAGCAGCTGATTGTGGGGAAGGAGGGGTTAAGGCTGCCCTGACCAGCAGCAAATAGTGGGCACAACAGGTTGGGGGTCAGAAGTGGATTGGCAGGTACAGTTGGAGGTCTAGGAAGAATCCCAATTGAGAGTTGGAAAAGCTGGCCTGAGACGGATACTGGGAGAAGAGCTGGGTGTCCTGGCCTACGCCCCTTTTCCCTGGGCCTCTGTAGTGCCATCTGAGAAATGAGGACAGCAATGCCTCAGGATGTTGGGGGGTCAAGTGTGAAATCATCACACAGCAGACTTCAAGATGTCTGTGTTCTGAGACCCAGGTCCACTCACCATTCCACATCCTGTTCCTTCTCATGCCTGTCCCTGGAGCCTCTCTGAGCTAGGAGCAGCTCAGCGTCCCCTCCCTGTGTCCTGTGTCCCTGAAATGAAGTGCCTACCAGCCTCTTCCTATGACCTTCAGTCCCACACAGCTCAGTACCATGCCAGTGACTAGCCCATTTTGCAGATGAGGAAACTGAGGCACACAGGTAGGTAATTTGCTCAGAATGACCCAGCTAGTGAACAGAAGAGCCAGAACAGAAAAGCCCACGCTTTTTCTGGACCTCCAGGTCCAGCCTCAAACCTGCTTCACTGTAGGGACACAGAAGCCTTCCTGCGTGTTCAGGATTAAAGGTGGGATCCGAGGTCCTGGAGACTGGTGACCACAGAGCTTCATGCTATTCCGTCCCTACGGAAAAGTGGATGACTGCGGCTGTAGAAGATGGGAGGGCTTGGGGGTCCGAGGGAAGAGCCAGTGTGAGCAAGCAGAGCTCAGGTCTGAGCTCTGGGCTCCCTGGAGTTCTCAGTGCCCCCAGGGTGGCAAGGGAAGGGGAAGTGGCGGATGTGAATTTATTTACCTAAAGAGATGGCTGGGAGGGCGAAACTCTCACCTGTGGGTTCCTTCTCACCTCCCTGAGCTCCATCAATCCACAAAGTGGTCTGCCACCCCTGCCCCCATGCATGGACCAGTGCAGGCAGCTCCGAGCTCACCTCTCCACAGGCTGTTCCTCAGGGACCCAGCCCGGGAGTGGGTGAGCCTGAGGTGGTGTGGGGAGGACTGTGTGAGCCCTGGCCTTGCTTACTTGGGTGAGTCCAGGGTTCTGGAATGAAACTCAAAGAATGTCAAAGCTAGAAGTGGTCTTAGGGATTCATCATTTGTTCCAACCTCCTCATTCCTCGGATGAGAGCCAGAGAGGGCAACGGACTCTCCCAGAGCCTCACAGCTAGCTGGTGGCACGGCTGGGACAAGGCGCCAGCTGACCACGTGCCCACCTCTCTGCTTTCCCCCTGTGGATCCTTTCGGCCACTTCCATTCCACGTTCTTCCTGTCATCTACAGCCTGGGTTACACTCTGCCTCTTCCGGCAGCTCTGGCTCCTTCCCTGGGAAACCTTCAACCTCATCTCCACATCCTCACCAGCTCCCAGCCCCCAGGCAGGGCGTTAAAGAGAGCACAGACACTTGGAGGGCACAGCTCAGGCCTTGGGTTCCAGGATAGGGGTGTCAGCTGGGGGCAGAAGGCGGGTGAGGGCTCCATTTTATGATGTTGGGACTCACTGGCCATGGGGACAGTGGGAGCCGGTCAAGGCCTCTAAGCCCAAGTACCTGGTTTCTATCCATGGAGCCAGGGCCTGCTGTCACTGGCCAGCCCTCAGGCCAGCCTGGGTCTCTATAGTAACAAATGCCAGTCAAGGGGGCCTCAGGGCTCAGCCAGGGGACTCTGGGCATGGCTGGATGGCCTGCATCACAGACAACACAGCTGTGGCTCCTTATCCCTTCCTGATGGGCACCTGCAGGCCTAGTTTTCTTTTCTTTTTTTGAGGGGGACGGGGGGACAGAGTCTCCATCTGTCGCCTAGGTTGGAGTGCAGTGGCATGATCCCAGCTCACTGCAACCTCCACCTCGAGCAATTCCCCTGCCTCAGCCTCCCCAGTAGCTGGGATTACAGGCGCACACCACCATGCCCAGCTAATTTTTTTTTCATTTTTAGTAGAGACGGGGTTTCACCATGTTGGCCAGGCTGGTCTCGAACTCCTGACCTCGTGATCCACCTGCCTTCAGCCTCTTGAAGTGCTGGGATTTCAGGCGTGAGCCACCATGACCAGCCAGGCCTGGCCTTCTAACTTGGTTTGCTCCTTACGCCCATGGGGAAGCCAGTGGTGGGCCTCAGTGGGAGGGGCATGGAGCCCTGGATTTCTTCCCCGCCCCCTTGCCCTGCTCCTTACAGGCTGTGTGACCTGGGGTAAGACCCTTCCCTTCTCTGTTTTCAGGGTCCCAGTTTATAAAAAGGAAATGGCTACCACCAGGGATGCGGTCAAAACCGCTGCCGTCCACGTTGGCTGAGATAAAGGAATGGCCAAAACGCATCAAGTGCCACAAGAAGTGGGGCAGGGGCCCTTTTTGGAGCTTAGCCTCAGTTGACCTAAACTGTCAGACTTACTCCCTTGACTGGAGTGAGCTGGAGGTGGGGGGAGGGAAGGAGGGTGGACCTTATTAACATTCATTGCTGGGGAGGAGTTCAGGAGGTGATAAGGGAAGTGAGAAGTAGCCTGGGCTGCTGTGGTTAATCCCTACCCCCTAGTGCCAAGTTCAACGCCCCCCAGCCGGGGTCGTCTTACGCCTGCCTCTCCTAACAGCCCAGCTGGTGCAAACAGAGCCCACCTGCAAATCTGCCACTTGCCACCACCTGCTTCAGCCCAGCCCACCCTCTTCCTGCTGAAAAACAGAAGCGCTGGGGCAGGGGAAAGGCGAAGGGCAGAGGGCAAAGGGTACCCTATCGATGAGGAGGGACCCCCACCTTTGCAATTTTTTTTGTTTTGTTTGAGACAGAGTTTTACTCTGTTGCCCAGGCTGGAGTGCAATGGCATGATCTTGGCTCACGACAACCTGCTCCTCCCGGGTTCAAGTGATTCTTCTTCCCCAGCCTCCCGAGTAGCTGGGACTACATGTGTGCACCACCATGCCCAGCTAACTTTTGTATTTTTTATAGTAGAAATGGGGTTTCACCATGTTGACCAGGCTGGTCTCGCTCCCCTGAACTTGTGATCTGCCTGCCTCAGCCTCGTGCTGGGATTATAGGCATGAGCCACGGAGCTCAGCCTAGTTTTGTATTTTTAGTAGAGACTGGGGTAGGGGGTGAGGTTTCTCCATGTTGGTCAGGCTGGTCTCGAACTCCTGACCTCAGGTGATCTATCTGCCTCCCTAGGCCTCCCAAAGTGCTGAGATTATAGGCGTGAGCCACTGCGCCCGGGCCTCCACCTTTGCAACTTATTTCCTACTGCCTGCTTGCAAATCGAAATCAAGTGATCACCGGTTTATCTGTTGCATACCCTCATGTGCTTGGGGCCAGGGGAGGGGAAGAAGTACCTATCCAATACGAGCTCAGCTGTAGAGAGGCCTGGCTGGCCCTTGAGGACTCCCATCACACAGTGGACTGACTTCTAATTCCCACTCTCAGTTTATGAGACTTTGTAAACTGGGCACTGGCGCATGCCTCCCTCCCATCAGCAGAGTGGTCAAAATCCCAGGCTCTGGGGCCAGACTCCCTGGCTCCTCTGCCAGCTGTGTGACCTTGGGGCAAGTTGTCTAACCTCTCTGTGCCACACTTTCCTCACCTGAGAAATGGGGCTGGGCCGGGTGTGGTGGCTCATATCTGTAATCCCAGCACTGTGGGAGGCCAGGGTGGTAGGATAGCTTGAGATCAGGAGTTTGAGACCCCCCGCTCCCTGTCTCTACAAAAATGTTAAAAAATGACCTGGGTGTTGTGGTGCATGCTTGTAGTACCAGCTACTCAAGGGGGCTGAGGCGGGAGGATAGGTTGAGCAGAGTTTGAAGCTGCAGTGAGCTATGATCATGCCACTACACTACAACCTGGGTGACAGAGTGAGACACAGTCTCTAAAAAAATTTTTAAAAGAAATGGAGCCAATCGCAAGGCCCTTAAGGTATGGTTACGAGGATTGAAGAAGTGAGTCGTGGGCATTAGTGGCTGTCACTACAGCTGATCCATCTTCAAGCGGGTGTCTGCCTCAGACCCTTTGCACGCTCTGCTCCTGTTCCCAGCAACGTCCTCTGGCAGCCCATGAACCCACCAGCCCCTTCTTGTCCATCGCCTCCTCCAGGAGACCTCCTCACCAAACTGCTTCCCCCTGCCCTCCAAATTCACCTGTTCCACCCCCTTCAAAGCACCAGACAGTGACTGAAACCATTGTGTTGGTTTTTGTTTCCACTGGACTGTAAGTGAGTTGAAGGTGAGGAATTGGGTCTACCCCGGGTTGCTGTGGATGAAACCACGTTCAAAAGGACCCAGCTGCCCACAGGGAGCAGTCCCCCTGTCACTCTCTGGGTGACCTGAAGTTACTGGTTTGTCCCCTTGCTGGAGGGTGGGACTCTGGTGACCTGAAGTTGGTGGCTTGTCTGTTTCTTGGAGGGACTGCACCCAGTCTGCCTCATGGGTATCGGAAACATGCAGAGAAAATGCCACCCTGGGCAGGCGCGGTGGCTCACGTCTGTAATCCCAGCACTTTGAGAGGCCGAGGTGGGAGGATCTCTTGAACCCAGGAGCTGGAGACCAGCCTGGGCAGCATAACAAGACCCCCTGTCTCTACAAAAAATGTAGAAATTAGTTTGGTGTGGTAGCTGGCACCTGTAATTCGAGTACTTTGGGACGCTGAGGTAGGAAGATTGAGTCCAGGAGGCTGAGGCTGCAGTGAGCTAGGATTGTGCTACTGCCTTCCAGCCTGGATGACAGAGACCTGCCTCTAAAAGTAATAAAGAATCCCAACCTGGCCGCTTCTACCTCTGTCTCTGGTCTCAAGAGAAGCTATAGCTGGACAGGAGGCCAAGCCTGGCTGTTGACTTTCCTGGGCAGGTGTTCAAAGAGCTCCGACCTGCTGGGCCCCACACCTGGGGGTCCTTGGCAGGATGCCAGGGCCAGCTCCCCACTGGCTCACTTCAGGCCTGGCCCCAGAGGGTGCTGGGGAGGGGCAGGGAGAAGCCAGCAGCAGCGCCAAATGATCACCCCGAGTAGGGGCCCATCTGTGTGTCCGTCTGCTCCAGAAACTGCGCCAGGGCCACCCCTGGGTGGACCGCCCTCCGGAGTCCCCTCTGCACACCAGGGAGAGGGCAGGGAGGGCAGGGGTCCCCCACCCCATTTGCTACTTCTCTCTTGGCCTCACCCCTATACTTGACTGAGCCCTGCTCCAGAGCACATGGTGCCTCTTTAAAGCTCACCCCATCTACCCCACTTCGAAGGTTTCCTGAGGGTGCGGGCCTCTGGTTCCTGTCTGACACAGATCTTCACACTTGGGAGGTCCCTGTGACAAGAGCTGGCCCCTAACAGAAGCAAGCAAGGAGAGCAAGTGTCCCTGAGGTCGCTATAGATGCTCTACACACAGTAGCTGCCTGACAAGGGTAGGGCCGGGAGAAGACCCCCTAGGGCGAGGCCCTTTCTGGTACCATGAGCAGCCAAAGCCCCTGGGTGCCTGGAAACCTAGCCCTGCCCAGAGGGAGTGTTCCGGCTGGAAACCACCTGATACCCGGCTCAGCACAGGGCAGACTCTAGGCTCGTCCCTCGCCACTGGGAGGGAATCAGTGGTGCCAAGCAGGAGGGACACAGCAGCCTCAGGCTGAGGGGGGTGGGTCCAGGGAGGGGGGCATGACCTCAGGGCCCGGGTGCGCTGGTTCAAGGCCGCCCTCTGCCGGGCACTTGGGCTGGTGCAGTGGGTAAGGAGGCCAGCAACAGGGAAGAGAAGGGAAGTCCTGACCAGACAACTTTATTGTGACCCGAGGTGGGGGTCTGCACTCGAGGCCTCCTGAAAGTGGAGAGTGGGGGGGAAGGGCTCTCGTGTTGCCCCCACAACACCCCGTCATATTCAGACAAATGCAGGGGTGGGGCAGGGGTGCTCTGTCCCTGTAGCACAGGCTGGGGAAGGCCCACTCTGCATTGTGGCCCCCAAAGCGTAGCTCCTCATTTCTTGAATCCTGGCTTTTTGGATCTGGGTGTGGCTTTGGCCTGCAGAGGGAAGGCAGAGCTCCAGGGTCCCACTCCCTCCTCCAGCCCAGGCAGCCTCCCCACAGAGCACCCATCTGTCCCAGGGGCCCACCCTCTGGTCCCACTCACCTTCTTCTCAGGGCTCTTGTCTCTAATGCTGGGTCTGCAACAGGGTGGAGTGGACCAGGAGTGGGATGGGCATCAGGGAGAGCGCTCAGCTCCAGACCAGTGGCGCAGCCCTCCCAGTGCCCACCTTGGCTGCTCCTCCTGGGGACCACTCAGACTCTCTTTTTATTGTTGTTGGAGACAGAGTCTTGCTCTATTGCCCAGGCTGGAGTACAGTGGTGCAATCTCAGCTCACTGCAACCTCTGCCCCCTGCCCCTCCAGGGGTTGAAGTGATTCTCCCTGCTCAGCCTCCTGAGGAGCTGGGATTACAGGCTCATGCCACCACGCCCAGCTAATTTTTGTATTTTTAGTAGAGATGGGCTTTCACCATGTTGCCCAGGATGGTCTCGATCTCTTCACCTGATGATCTACCCGCCTCAGCCTCCCAAAGTGCTGGGATTACAGGTGTGAGCCATCGCGACTGGCCCACTCTGGCTCTTTTTAAACAAAGGGGTGTGTGTGTGAACGCATGCATGCACATGTATGTTTTCCTTAGGCTTCCATCTCCGTTTAGTTATCACAAATGTCTTTCTTTTGTTTTTGAGATGGAGTCTGGCTCTGTTGCCCAGGCTGGAGTGCAGTTACACCATCACAGCTCACTGCAGCCTTGACCTCTCGGGCTCAAGTGATCCTCCTGCCTCAGTCTCCCGAGTAGCTGGGACTGCAGGTGTGCACCACCACACCTGGCCCACAAATGTCCTTTTCATTACAAAAGTAATGTTAACCATTTTCTACAAAATATAGCAATAGGTGGCACACACCTATTGTCCTAGCTAGTAGGAAGGCTGAGACAGGAGGATTGCTTGAGGCCAAGAAGTGAAGGCTGCAGTGAGCCATGATTTGTGCCACTACACTCCAGCCTGGGTGGCAGAGCAAAATGCTGTCTCATTAAACAAACCAACCAAAACTATACACATACATTCAAAGTTGCTATATTCTTCATAAGCGTTATGAAATCTTCCATTGAGAAGATACATGTAGCTTAGTCAATCGTTACACTGGTAGACATTTACAATGCTTCCATTTTTTTCCACTATTATTTGAATAATACCATGATAAGCATCTTTTTTTAAATTGTTTTTTGAGACCCAGTTTCGCTCCGTCATCCAAGCTGGAGTGCAGTGGCACGATCTCAGCTCACTCCAACTTCTACCTGAGTTCAGGCAATTCTTGTGCCTTAGCCTCCTGGACAGCTGGGATTACAGGCAGCTGGGATTACAGGCTGGGATTTCACCACCAGGCCTAGCTAATTTTTGTACTTTTAGTAGACACAGGGTTTCATCATGTTGGCCAGGCTAATCTCAAACTCCTGACCTCAAGTGATCCGCCCACCTTGGCCTCCCAAAGTGTAGGGATTACAGGCATGAACCACACACCTAGCCCTGAGAAACATCTTAGTACAGATAATTTCCCCTGAATTTTGGATGGAATTCTTTGGAAGGAATTTCCTTCAGTGGAATTAGGTCCCAAGATAAGAACGTTGTAATGCTTTTTCAGAAAGGTGATGCCACCCGCCCGTGCTTCCATGCCCATGTGCCTGCGTGTGCAGGAATACACACCATGTGTGCATTTGTATACGTACACACCAACAACATGGTATTTTTTCTAATACTGTACATCTCATCTAAGAGACTGGCTAATTTAATAGGTAGAAAGAATTACCTTACTTCCTCTTGTTCTTTTTCCAGCTTTTTTTTCTGGAAACCAAAAATGAGTGTATTAGGAGAGTTAGAGCCAGAAGAGACTCCCAGCATCCACAGGGTCCCCGTTGAGCACCTGGACAGAAATGGCCACAACGGCCTTGCCCCATCCTGCACACTCAGAAGGCTGGCCCAGGCTCCTGGTGCCCCATCCCTCTGAGGGGCTTCTGCAGGGGCAGTACCTCCTTCTAAACAGCCACGCTCCTTCCCCCACCTTAGCCACGCTTGTCTGCTTCTGGGGCACCAGCCTTTTGCCTTGTTTGACAGGGGATTCCTCCTCCAGAGATATATCTACATCCTCATCCTCATCATCTTCCTCCTCCTCTTCCTCTTCTTCCTCTTCCCCTTCTTCTTCCTCCTCCTCCTCCCAGGTTTCTGTGATAGCATGGGAAAGAGGGCAGGGGCATAGGTTCAGAGCTACAGAATCGATGCCCACCTCCTATTGTGTGATCCTGGTTGCTCCAAGCACTGCCCTGGAGGAATCCCAGCCTGGAGTTGACAGTGGTTACTTACCTGCCACCTGTACAGGGTGGTGCCCTTTCTGGTCCTCCTGACAGTGGAAGCCAGGCTAGCTTAGGGGATCTAGGAGAGCCCTGCAGTGGGCTAGGTGTGGTAGAAAGATGGCAGGGGGAGTGGCTCTGGCTGAGTAGGAGAGGGATTCATATTGAAAAGGGCTGGGGCCAAGGCTAAAGGTGGGCAGGGTTGGGGAGGAAAGGGAGGAGAGGCGGAAAGAAACTAAGAAACAGCTAAGGAACTAAAACCTTATCCTAAGAGAAGTGGGACTTGCCAAGGCTTTTTACCTAGAGAGTACCCCGAGGTGAAGGAGGCCTAATCATACAGAAAAGAGGGCCAGTTGAAGGATCTGGAAGGAGTCAGCATCTTGCCACATTGCTATGGTCTGCGTCACTGCAGCAGCGATATCAACAGTGGCTCTCTAGTACCGGACATTGCACTGAGTGCTTTTCCTGAATATCCCATTTATTCTTCACAACTGCTCTTTGAACTTTGCCAGTAAGGGGCTGCGGCCCACAGAGGTCATGGCAGGTAAAGAAGAACAGAGACCAGCGCCCTTGCCTGTGGCATTCCAGTCCAGGCTGCTGGCCGTCATGTTGCCTTTAGGGATTTTTCTCCCGAAATTCAAGAATCCCTTCAGTGTTTGAGTAGCCAGTATGTCCGGAGCTCCCGCTGGGCACAGTACTCTCAGACTTTCCCAAGCCTGGGCTCTGACTTACCATAACGCTCCTGGCCACTGAGGAACACAGGTCCTGAGCCAGCCCGGAGTTGGAAAGTAACTGGGGGAGAAAGCTGTACTCCAACCATGGTGACCTGCAGTGGGAGGAAGCACAGAAGACAGGGCCACTTAGGTCTGGCACTTCTCGGGGGCTGGCCTCGGGCAGAAATAGCGAGTTGATTTCCCTCCCTGAACCCTACACACTACTCATGCGTTGCATGGACCTTACTGCATTCTCAGCCCCGTACCCGCCTGCCGAGGTGAGCTCTGTCCAAGAAGAATTCGAACCCAGTAATCCCATTCTTGCTGAACTCACAGATAGCCTTCCAAGCTGAGGGGCAGCTGTCAGATAGGAATCTGATTGCTATGAGCTGAATCGTGGCCACTCTCTCATCCTCCAAATTCCTATTTTGAAGCCCTATCCTCCAGTGTGATAGTATTTGGAAAGTGATTTGGGGGGGGGATTTTGGGGAGTGATTAGGTTTGGGGTCATGAGGGCGGGGCACTCATGATAGAATTAGTGCCTTTATAAGATGAGACACTATAGAACTCACTCACTCTCTCTCCACTCTCCACTCTTCTGCCCCACCATGTGAACATGCAGCAAGAAGGCTGCTGTATGCAAGTCAAGGAGAGAGCCCTCACCAGAACCCAACCATGCCAGCCCCCGATCTGAGACTTTCAGCCTCCAGAACTGTGAGAAAACATCTTTTGCTAAAGCCCTCTGGTCTGGTATTTTATAATAGCAACTAGGGCAGACTGAGATGCTCACTGATCAAATGAGAAAGCATATGCACGACTTTATGTACAGCACTACTTTCTTCACATCAGACAGGTCATGTGCCAACTCGTAACCAGGTTTGTGGAGGCATATCTTACACATGAGGATGAAACCCCAATGATCATACTTATAAATGACAAGAATCTCTACAGTACTACTTTTGTCTTATGCAAAATGTATGGATATACATGTGAAACAGGCTTGAAATATATTAAAATGCTAACCATAATTGTCAGTAGACATTACAGTATTTATTGTATTTATACCTTCCCAAACTTTCCGAATTTTCTAGAATGACAATAGCTTATTTTAGTGTTTTATCTGCTTTATCTCATTTAAATCCTCATAAGAAACCCATGATGGGAATACTGATACTTTACAGAAGATGAAACTGAGACTTAGAGTGAATAACTTAGAGCTCTAAGTTCAGACAGGAAGTAATAAGCAAAAACAAACTCTGCAGCCACTTAGAAGTGCCAGAGAGGATGTAATTCAGTGTTTCGACTGCATGGCTGAACAGTAAGACAGAAGAGTCCTTGAGCATAAAAAATAAAGAGAGGGGGCCGGGCGTGGTGGCTCACGCCTGTAATCCAAGCACTTTGGAGGCCAAGGCGGGCGGATCACCTGAGGTTGGGAGTTCAAAACCAGCCTGACCAACATGGTGAAACCCCGTCTTAAAAAAAATAATAAAAAAAAAAAAAGAAAGGAAAATGAAAAGAGGATACCTTCTGATTAGTGATGAATGAAAAAAAAAAAAAGAAATGAAGAGAGGCAGGTGTAGGAACTAGTGTGCAGCAACTGAGGGGAAATGGACCTGAAAATAGCCAGGACTTTGGGCTTCAAAACTCACACACAGGCTGGGCTCAGTGGCTCATGTCTGTAATCCCAGCACTTTGGGAGGCCAAGGCAGGCAGATCACTTGAGGTGAGGAGTTTGAGACCAGCCTGGCCAACATGGAGAAACCCCAACTCTATTAAAAATACAAAACTAGCTGTGCGTGGTGACACATGCCTGTAATCTGAGCTACTTGGGAGGCTGAGGCAGGAGAATCGCTTGAACCCAGGAGGCGGAGGCTGCAGTGAGCACCAAGATTGTGCCATTGCACTCCAGCCTCGGTAACAAAAGTGAAACTCCATTTCAAAAAAAAAAAAAAAAAGAAAAAGAAAAGAAAAAAGAGCTCAAACCAGCCCTCTTCTCCTCAAAAAAAGAAAAACAAAAAATTAAAACCCTAGCCACCATTAAAGGAAACTAACAAGGAAGCATAAATCGAAATAAAAGCCACCTCCTGTGAAAGCCCAGACCCATAGCTGTGCCTCTCACTTGTGTGGTTTGAATTATTCATTGAGTACCGCCAACCCAAGAAATGTGTATAAAATCCCAAGCTTATATATTCCTGAGGTAAATGGCAGAAGCAAACACAAAACCACTCTGTTGGAACCCTCCCCAAACTCAGGCCACATCAAATTCTTTTGGAAAAAAACAAAATAAACTAAAGATGAGTTCACTGTATAAAATTACAAAACACACACGAAACAATCCCGCTAGAGTCAACAGAAAGAAACCAAGTGGCTGCAGACTCGGCCAACTAAGAACTTAAGAGAATACCCATCTAAAACTATATCGAATTAAGCTGGGTACGGTGATGCACGCCTGTAGCACAGGCTTCTCAGGAGGCTGAGGCAGGAAGATTGCTTGAACTCGGGAGTTCAAGGCTGCAGTGAGCTATGATTGCACTGCTGCACTCCAGACTGGGCAACAGAGCAAGATCTTGTCTCTAAAGTATGTATATACACATATATGTATGTAATAAGTTTAAAACCAAATAAATGCAAAAGTAGGAATCAGAACCATAAGAACAAGACATTATGAAAAAGAAAAAGACCCAACTGCAGCTTTCCAGACATAAAAAGCAGAAGCTGAGGCTGGGCATGGTGGTTCATGCCTATAATCCCAGCACTGCGAGAGGCCAGAACTTATAAACCAGCCTGGGTAACATAGTAAGTCTTAAGCTTTACAAAAAAACTAATAATAAAAATTAGCTGGCCATGGTGGCTCGTGCCTGTAGTCCCAGCTACTTGGGAGGTTGAGTGGGAAGATCACTTGAGCCCAGGAGTTTGAGGCTGCAGTGAGCCATGATCATGCCACTGCACTCCAGCCTGGGCAACAGAGCAAGACCTTGTCTTTAAAACAAAGATAAAAGAAAACCTGAACAAATGATTAAAAAGCAGAATAAACCAGCAGAAGCAGAATTAGTATGATCAATAGTGCTATGAGGAATTACCCATTATAAGGCACAGGGAGAGATTTAAAGAAACCTGAAAGACAGGCTAACACGGAGGACAGAGTGAGAAGGTCCAACATATATCTAATTGGAAGAGGGACTAGAGAGACTGGAAGACAGTCAATATTCAAAGGGAAAACAACCAAGAATTTTTAAGAAGTGATCAAAGACATAGATCTTCATATCTGAAAACCTAAGGACTAAACAGATAAGTAAAAATCAATCTACACATGAACATATCATGGTAAAACTATAGAAAATAAAAACAAAAGATATTATCTTAAAAGAAATCAGAGAGGAAAGACATCTCCAAAAAAAGGAATAATCACACAGATTGAGGATTTCAACAGCAACACTGGAAACCAGAATAGAACAACAGCTTTGAAGCTGAAGGAAACTCTTTACCTAGAATTATATACACAGCCAAACCATCGTGAAAGAATGAGGGCAAAATCATGATATTTCTAGACAAAGCCTGAGTAAGTTTACTATTCTCAGGCCCACTAAAGTATGTTTCTAAAAAAGATAAGAAATTAAATCAAGAAGGAAGAAGTGAGTACAAGAAGCAGCTGCAACCAAACTAATTGGTAAACAAAGTAAACCTACATAAGCATTAATTGGAAAATACAATAATACTAGTAATGAGTTGTATTGAGTAGGCTGACAAGTTGGAGCTACAACACTAGATAATATTTAATTTAAAAAGAGGAGAATCAGGCCAGGCACAGTGGCTCACACCTGTAATTCCGACACTTTGGGAGGCCAAGGGAGGTGGATCACCTCAGGTCAGGAGTTCAAGACCAGCCTGGCCAACATGGCGAAACCCCATCCCTACTAAAAATACAAAAATTAGCTGGGCATGGTGGTACACACCTGTAATCCCAGCTATGCGGGAGCCTAAGCCAAGAGAACCACTTGAACCTGGAAGGCGGAGGTTGCAGTGAGCTGAGATTGCACCACTGCACTCTACGCTGGGCAACAGAGTGAGACTCCATTTTGAAAGTAAAAAGATGAAAAGAGAAGAATCAGAAAAGCTCCTTGGATTGTCTGGGAGAAAAGAAAACATTAATTTTAAACTTTGAGTCATGCATGATTGTTAAAAAAATTAAAGATAACCAGTAAAAAATTAGAATGAGGGCCGGGCGCGGTGGCTCACGCCTGTAATCCCAGCACTCTGGGAGGCCGAGGCGGGTGGATCACAAGGTCGAGAGATCGAGACCATCCTGGTCAACATGGTGAAACCCCGTCTCTACTAAAAATACAAAAAACATTAGCTGGGCATGGTGGCGCGTGCCTGTAATCCCAGCTACTCAGGAGGCTGAAGCAGGAGAATTGCCTGAACCCAGGAGGCGGAGGTTGCGGTGAGCCGAGATCGCGCCATTGCACTCCAGCCTGGGTAACAAGAGCGAAACTCCGTCTCAAAAAAAAAAAAAAAAATTAGAATGAGATTCTATAACTTCGAAACCAGTAGAGAAGGGGAAAAGAAACTTTTATCAATCTAATAAAATGTAGGAAAAGGAGAAGAAAATAAAGCAAGGAAAGCAGACGTACAAACTGTATGTCACAAATCCAATTACATCAGCAATCACAGTGAATAAACTCTGCTCTCAGAACAAAATCTAGCTACATACTATGTACAAGATACATACCTGGAACATAAGACATAAAATACACCTGAAATGGAGAAGTTGCTGAGGCCAGAGCATAAAGGCAAGGCAGGCCATGATACACTCTCAGCTCTGATTCCAAGTGAGAGAGAGAGCCGTGACCTAAGTGTCCTAGCAGAGAAGCCACATGATCTGACCTGTGTTTAAAAGGATCTTTTTGGCCAGGCTTGATGGCTCATGCCTGTAATCCCAGCACTCTGGGAGGCTGAGGTGGGTGGATCACTTGAGGTCAAGAGTTTGAGACCAGCCTGGCCAACATAGTGAAACCCCATCTCTATTAAAAAAGAAAATCAGCCAGGCGTGTTGGCCAGCACCTGTAGTCCCAGCTACTCAGGAGGCTGAGGCATGAGAATCACTTGAACCCAGGAGACAGAGCTTGTAGTGAGCCGAGATGGTGCCACTGCACTCCAGCCTGGGTGACAGAGCGAGACTGTCTGGAAAAAAAAAAAAAAAAAAAAGATAAAGAAAAAAAGATCTTTGGCAGCTGTGTACAGCACAGACCAGGAAACTTTCTGAAAAGAGCCAGAAGGTAATATTTTAGACTTGCAAACCATATGGTCTCCATGGAGACTACTCAAACCTGCTGTTATGAGGAAAAGCAGCCATGGAATGGGTATAAATGAGTGTGGCTGTGTTCCAGTAAAACTACTTAGGAAAACAGGCAGTGGGCTAGATTCAAGCCCTCTAGTTTACCTACCCTGGAATACACTACAGGGGACCATGGGACGGTAGGTAGACCAGGTGGAAGGCCCTGCAATTAAACAGAGCCACAGGCAACTGTCACCTGGACCAGGGGTAGCAGGGAAGACGGTGAGCTGTGGTCCATCAGGGCATAAGATGGAGGCAGAGCAGACAACAGGACTGCTGCTATATCAGATATGGGCGTGGAAAAAAAGAGGGTTTGGGCCAGGTGCGGTGGCATGCCTGTAATCCCAGATCTTCGGGAGGCCAAGGCCTGATCACCTGACTTAGGAGTTTGAGACCAGCCTGATCAACATGGCAAAACCCTGTCTCTACAAAATATACAAAAATTAGCCAGGCGTGGTGGCACATGCCTGTAGTCCCAGCTGCTTGGGAGGCTGAGAAAAAAGAATCACTCGAATCTAGGAGGCGAAGGTTGCAGTGAGCAGAGATCACGCCATTGCTCTCCAGCCTGGGTGATAAGAGTGGAAACACCATCTCAAAAAAAAAGTTTTTTCCTGGCTAACTGGAAGAACAGCTATTTTCTGAGAGAAAATCGGGCTGAAGAGGAGGCGGGTGGATTAGAGATAAAAATTGAATGTGTGGATTTAGACATGTGAAGTTTGGGATATTTGTTATATATCTATTAAAGACACGGAGTTGGATATAGGACTTGGAGCTCAAGAGAGGGTGGGTTTACAGAAATAGGTTTCTGAGTCTTTGTTTAGATGGTCTTGACAACCACAGGACTGGATGAAACTGCTCCGTCTCGGTTCAGGCATTAGATTCTCATGAGAAGCATGCAACCTAGACCCCTTGCATGCACAGCTTACAATAGGGTTCATGCTCCCAAAAGAATCTAATGTCATTCTGATCTGATCAGATGCTGGGCTCAGGCATAATGCCAGCTAGCTAGCTGCTCACCTCCTGCTGTGCCATCAAGTTCCTAATAGGCCACGGAAGGGTTCTGGTCCTTGGCGGGGTGGTGGGGGACCCATGGTTTGAAGTGTAATTTTTGCAGACAGCTTAACTTGTCCAAGGTAACACAGCTCTAGGAAGGGGTCAGCTGGGCTAGACCCCAGCTCTTTGCATGGGCTGTGCTGCCTCCCTGACACCGCTGACTTCTATAGGGTGAATGTACCCTCGTGTGTGTGCATTCCCACCAAAGGGTGAGGCTGAGGCTGGGGCTGCTTGCAGTTTTCCAGCCAGCAGGGAAAGGCGCACCATGGGGAGGACTGAGGCCTGGAGCGAGGCAATGGTGACTGGCTGCGTCTTCTTGTCCTCTCGGTTTCCTGGAGGCAGGATCTCCACGCGATGCATCTCCTCTTTGGTTTTCTCCCCTAAGCAAATCTGAGCAAGTTCAAAACAGACAGAGGCCACTCATCACCCTGAGGGCAGATGGGAGAAACTCACAGTCCCCTCTTGGGACCAGAAAGTCCCCCACTCCATCCTGCTCCCTCTTTCGGGCACATCTACCGTATGAAGCAACAGCCTGCAGCCCTGCTTCCCCTCCGGCTGGGGTCTGAAGGTCCAAGTCCGCCTCTCCTGACTGAGCTCGCAGCCTGCGGAGGGGAAAAGGAGGGAAGTGGCGCCCTCCTTCCTCCCTAAGGGAGCGGCTCACCTGCGCCGCAAGCTGCTGCGCACGGGAGGTGGGGCGTGGCTCTGGGAGGGAACCTGGGTTTCCACTCACCCCAGAGCACGGTCTTCACTGCCTTTTCCTCCGTGCTGCTGGTGCTGCTGAGATTCATGGCTCGGGGCGGAGGAGCGGGATGGCTGCGCAGCTGCAAGGAGGACGCCCACGTGAGGCCTTGCGCGCCGACCCTCGGCTGGAGGATGCCAGAGGCCAGGAGGCGTCAGCAGGTACTGAGGCGTCGCTGGCGGTCGGAGAGCCCCTGTTGGGTCAAGGGCTCGCCAGCCACTCCTGGAGGACGAGTACCCACCTCCCAGCGGGGCGCGCAGCCGGGGGCCCGGCCGGGCCCGCACAGGACTGCGGGACTCACGGGAGAAGGAGCTGCCCACGGAGCCCAGGCTTGAAAACCCGCAGGGAGGTCACCAGGCTGCGCTTGGGCCTGACTCAAAGTCTCTGTGGACCCTCTACCAGGCGCAGAGAAGGGGGTGTGCGCTCGGCTTGGTCCCAGCTCCCCCACCTAGCCTTACCGTCGCTGCTCCGCGCGGGACCAGTCACGCCATCGGTACTACCGGAGCGCAGCGCAACCTCATCCCCGCTGGCCGAAGGGCGACTGCCCACGCCCAGGCTAAGAAGCCCGCGAAGGGGCAGGACAGGTGTCCAATCAGCCGCAAAAAAGCCGCCTGCCTCTCCCCTTCCCTTCTCCCATTCTTTCCTCCGTGTGGCAGAATCACCTGGAAGGCTGTTAACGCGCGCATCGCTGCCCTCCACTCCACAGCTGCCCGTGGCGTGGGTCTGGGTGGGGTCGAGGGAATTTGCATTTGTAATCAGTTCCCAGGTGAAGCTCATGATGCCGGTTCATGACCCTTCGTGAGAGACGCTGTCCGGGCCAATGAGGACCCGCCGAGGCCTCCTGGAGCCCCGACCCCAGCCGGTGGAGAGGAAGCCTTAGCTCAGCTTAGGAAGGGAGGCCGGCAGCCGGCAGGAAGCGGCAGGTGGAAGCGTTCCTTCTTGTGCATTGCTTTTCTTTCTTTTCTTTCCCCGTGCCTTATACAGCATGGACCTTTCCTAAGGCCCAGACAGCCTGTCCTTCCAGTCTCCAGTGAGAGAGTGAACTCTGTCTCCTAAACGGTGAGATCTCCGGCGGAGAGCCACAGCGGGCAGGTGGGGTGGGGAGGTGAGCGGCGAGGCGCCACAGCAGGAGGTGGGGAGCGCGGCTAGCGACGCTACAGGGCCAAGCACGCGACCAGCAGCGGGTCCCAAACTCAGTGGACAGTGAAGAGGAGGTGGGGTTTCAGCGGATATGCCCTGGAGACACCTCAAATAACCAGGAATCTCCCGCACACACCTGGGACAGGGGCTCATTGCCACAATGAGGTCAGAATCTTTTATTCCTCGAAGCTGGGATCACCTTCCTTGTGAATTGGCCCAGGACAACCCACAAGAGGTTTGGGGGCCTGCCAGAGCCCTCTGAGGCTCCCTGTTCCCAGCTGAGCATTTCCGGTCCCCTTGACTGTCCCTGAGCTCTCTGTCCCTGGCTGGGGGCTTACTGGAGGTGACAGCCATTGCAGCCAAGTGTGCGGTAAAGATGAGCATATGGCAGGCACGTGCATGCCGCGTATAGAGGTTCAGGTATTCCCTCAACAAATGGTGATTCTGGCCAGGGCCTGGCCATCCCACAGTGAATACGACAGAGCCCCCTCAAAGGGCTTCCAGCCTCACTGGAGAGCAGTGCTCAAAGCAAACTGGCTGTCTGTGGCCCCAGACTACCCCCCCCTCATGAATAATCACACTGATGTGAGGCTGCAGCTGGGGGTCACAGTGAAGGGTAAATGGAGGCAGGGAGGGAGATGCCCCTGGGGTCACGAACTAGAGCTAGGACGCTGGAACTGGACAGCCAGGATTCAAGTCTGCACTCTGCTTTGTGATTTCAGGTGTGCTAATTCATGTCTCAGTGCCTCAGTTTCCTCATCTACTAAATGGGGCTGCTATACTGGAACCATCCTCATTACCTTTTTTTAGCTGATAAATATTAATCGTACATATTTATAGGGTACATATGATATTTTGATACTTGCACACAATGTGTAATCAGCAAATCAGGGTAACTGAGGTATCCATCACTTTGAACATTATTATTACTTTTCTTTTTTTTTTTTTTTTGAGATGGAGGCTCACTCTCATCACCCAGGCTGGAGAGCAGTGGTGCAATCTCAGCTCACTGCAACCTCCACCTCCCAGGTTCAAGCAATTCTCCTGCCTCCCAAGTAGCTGGGATTACAGGCGCCCACCACCATGCCTGGCTAATTTTACTATTTTTATAGAGATGGGGTTTTACCAGGTTGGCCAGGCTGGTCTTGAACTCCTGACCTCAGTGATCCACCTGCCTAGGCCTCCCAAAGTGCTGGGTTCACCCAAAGCTGTGAGCCACTGTGCCCAGCCAAACGTTTATTATTTATTTGTGTTGGAAACATTTCAAATCTTCTAGTTATTTTGAAATATACAATAAATTCTTGTAAGCTGTAGTCAACTTACTGTACTATCATCAACACAAGCCCTTCTTATTGCTATCTAATAGTATGCTTGTACCCATTAATCAATCTCTCTAACCCCCCAACCACTTACCAGTCTGTAATAATCATCATTCGACTCTCTATTCCCATTCCCTTTTTTTTTTGTTTTTGGCTCCCACATGAGTGAGAACATGTGATATTTCTCTTACTGTGTCTGGCTTGTTTCAGGTAACATAATGACCTCCAGTTCCACCCACATTGCTGCAAATGACAGGGCTTCCATCTTTTTTTATGGTTGGATATATTCCATTGTGTATACGTACCACATTTTCTTTTTCTTTTTCTTTCTTTTTTTTTTTTTTTTTTTTGAGAAAGAGTCTTGCACTGTCACCTGGGCTGGAGTATAATGGCGCAGTCTTAGCTCACTACAACCTCCGCCTCCCGGGTTCAAGCAGTTCTCCTGCCTCGGCCTCCAGAGTAGCTGAGATTACGGGTGCCCACCACGCCCAGCTAATTTTTTTGTATTTTTAGTAGAAACGAGGTTTCACTATGTTAGCCAGACTGGTCTCAAACTCCTGAGCTCGTGATCTGCCTGCCTCTGCCTCCCAAAGTGCTGGAATTACAGGTGTGAGCCACCTTGCCCAGCTTCCACATTTTCTTTATCCATTCATCTGTTGATGGACACTTAGTTGATTCCATATCTTGGCTGTTGGAATAGTGCTGCAATAAACAAAGGTGCGCAGATACCCCTCCTTTTTTTGGATACTGATTTCCATTATGGAAAGCAATGTGCAGATTTCTCAAAAAACTAAAAATAGAACTACCATATGATCCAGCAATCTCAATACTGTCTTACTTATCCAAAGGAAAGGAAATCAGATACCAATTTCCTAGGAATCAATATTTCTGGGATTATTTATCCCAGTAATGGGATTGTTGGATCATGTGGTAGTTCTATTTTTAGTTTTTTTGAGAAATCTCCAAACACTTTCCATAATGGCTGTACTAACTTACATTCCCAACAACAGTGTATGAATTCCCTTTTCTCCACATCCTCACCAGCATTTGTCTTCTTGATAATCATCATTTTAACTGAGGGGAGATGGTATCTCCTGTGGTTTTGATTTTCGTTTCTCTGATGATTCGTGATGTTGAGCTTTTAATTTTCATATGCCTGTTGGCCATTTGTTTGTTTTCTTTTGAGAAATATCTATTTGTGTCCTTTGCCCACTTTATATTATTATTTGTTTTTTGCTGTTGAGTCATTTGTATTCCTTGTATATTCCGTATATTATTTCCTTGTTAGATGAATAATTTGCAATATTTTCTCCCATTCTGCCGGCTGTCTCTTCACTCCGTTGACTGGTACAGTTTTTGGATTAATATAGTCTCATTTGTCTGTTGCTCTTGTTTCTGTTGCCTGTGCTTTTGAAGTCTTACCCATAAAATCATTGCCTAGACCCATATCCTGAAGCATTTCCCTTAAGTTTTCTTCTAGTAGTTTGATAGTTTTATGCCTTAATCCATCCAAGTCTTTAATCCATTTAGAATTGATTTTTGTATGTGATGACAGACGGGGTCTACTGTTCTTCTCCTTATCAATATCCAGTTTTCCCAGCACCATTTATTAAAGATGATGTCCTTTCCCCAATGTACATTCATGGTGCCTTTGTCAAAAAATCAGTTTGTTATAAGTACGTAGATTTATTTCTGGGTTCTCTCTTTTGTTCCATTGGTCTGTCTCTGTTTTTATACCAATACCATGCTGTTTTGGCTACAATAGCTTTGTAGTGTATAATTTATATTTGTATTTGTATTTGAGACAGGGTCTCGCTTTACTTCCCAGGCTGGAGTGCCGTGGCACTGCTTCAGCTCACTGCAGCCTCCACCTCCTGAGCTCAAGCGATCCTCTCACTTCAGCTGATGAAGTAGCTGGGATTATAGGTGTGTGCTACAATGACCATCTAGTTTTTTAAAAATTTTATTTTTTTTAAATTGCATTTTAGGTTTTGGGGTACATGTGAAGAACATGCAAGATTGTTGCATAGGTACACACATGGCAGTGTGATTTGCTGCCTTCCTCCCCATCACCTATATGTGGCATTTCTCCCCATGCTATCTCTCCCAAACTACCCACCCACCACTGTCCCTCCCCTATTTCCCCCGACAAACCCCAGTGTGTGATGCTTCCCTCCCTGTGTCCATGTGTTCTCATTGTTCAACACCCACCTGTGAGTGAGAACATGTGGTGTTTGATTTTCTGTTCTTGTGTCAGTTTGCTGAGAATGATAGTTTCCAGGTTCATCCATGTCCCTACAAAGTACGCAAACTCATCGTTTTTGATGGCTGCATAATATTCCATGGCGTATATGTGCCACATTTTCCCTGTCCAGTCTATCATCAGTAGGCATTTGGATTGGTTCTAGGTCTTTACTATTGTGAACTGTGCTGCAATGAACATTCACGTGCATGTGACCTTATAGTAGAACAATTTATAATCCTTTGGATATATACTCAGTAATGGGATTTCTGGGTCAAATGGAATTTCTGTTTCTAGGTCCTTGAGGAATCGCCACACTGTCTTCCACAATGGTTGAACTAATTTACACTCCCACCAACAGTGTAACAGTGCTCCTATTTCTCCACATCCTCTCCAGCAACTGTTCTCTCCGGATTTTTTAATGATCACCATTCTAACTCGCGTGAGATGGTATCTCAATGTAGTTTTGATTTGCATTTTTCTAATGACCAGTGATGATGAGCATTTTTTTTATGTTTTTTGGCCTCATGTATGTCTTCTTTTGTAAAGTGTCTGTTCATATCCTTGGCCCACTTTTGAATGAGCTTGTTTTTATCTTGTAAATCTGTTTTAGTTCTTTGTAGATTCTGGATATCAGCCCTTGTCAGATGGGTAGATTGCAACATTTTTTTCCATTCTGTTGGTTGCCAATTCACTCTAATGACTGTTTCTTTTGCTGTGCAGAAGCTGTGGAGTTTGATCAGTATCCATTTGTCTATTTTGGCTTTTGTTACCAATGCTTTTGGTGTTTTGGTCATGAAGTCCTTGCCTATGCCTATGCCCTGAATGGTTTTGCCTAGGTTTCCTTCTAGGGTTTTTATGGTGTTAGGTCTTATGTTGAAGTCTTCAATCCATCTGGAGTTCATTTTAGTGTAAGGTGTCAGGAAGGGGTCCAGTTTCTGCTTTCTGCACCTGGCTAGCCAGTTTTCCCAACACCATTTATTAAACAGGAATCCTTTCCCCATGGCTTGTTTTTGTCAGGTTTGTCAAAGATCAGATGGTTGTAGATGTGTTGTGTTGCCTCCTCTGTCCTGTTCCATTGGTTTATATCTCTGTTTTGGTACACGTGTCATGCTGTTTTGATTACTGTAGATTTGTAGTATAGTTTGAAGTTTGGTAGTGTGATGCCTCCAACTTTGTTCTTTTTGTTTAGAATTGACTTGGCTATGTGGGCTCTCTTTTGGTTCCATATGAAGTTTAAGGTGTTTTTTTCCAGTTGTGTGAAGAAGGTCATCGGTAGCTTAATGGGGATAGCATTGAATCTGTAAATTACTTTGGACAGTATGGCCATTTTCACGATATTAATTCTTCCTAACCACAAATATGGAATGTTTCTCCATCTGTTTGTGTCCTCTCCTATTTCGTTGAGCAGTGGTTTGTAGTTCTCCTTGAAGAGGTCCTTTATGTTCTTTATTAGTTGTATTCCTAGGTATTTTATTCTCTTTGTGGCAATTGTGGATGGCAGTTCGTTCTTGATTTTGCTCTCTTTAGGTCTGTTATGGGTGTATAGGAATGCTTGTGA